TCCGCCAATGAGACAGAGGAGGGGCGAGGGGCAGGGAGCCGGAGAGGAGGAAGGAAGGCGGGCCCGCCATCACCCCGCGCAAAACCCCGGGCGCCAAGCGCACTAGTCACAGTAGCGCGGCACCGCAAATAGCTGCAGCTGCAGAGAGGTAACGCGAATACTGGAAACAGTATTGCAGAAAAAAGAATCCGCCCCTCCGGGGGGGACTGCGGGGCGGGTCTGCGGAAGGCCAACTCCCCGGGCGCACAGGGTCACCACTGCGGCGCGCCGGATCCAGCACCGTACCAACCGTTCCCACCGCAGCTCTTCCGCTCCCCGGAGGGGGGCCTTCCACGGGTTACATCAACTGGGCGCCGTCAAAAACGGCGGGTTCCCCCAGATTGGAGCCCGAGGGGTTCGCAAGGCCGCAAGCTTGGTGCCAGCTGCTTGCGGGAAAAACAGGCATACGGTGAGGGGGCAGCACCCCTCCGCTTACTCATGCTACGGCAAGCCCGCCATGGCTTCCACGGGCATCCCCCCCCCCCCCCCAGCTTACCGCCCCGCCAACCGGGTGGGGCTGGGAGGGGGCCCGCGCGGCAGGGGGGCAACGCTGCTCCCGCCGGGACTCCTCCGGGTCAGCTGCACGCGTGGTATTCTTCCGGGGGCCCCTCCCGGAACTTGACCCGCCCCCCTCCCTTCTCGGGCGGGGTCTGCCCCAGGCGGTTCGAGCTTCCCAAGGTGAGGTTGTAGTTCTGGGCGGACATCGCCTCCGAGAGGCCCTTCTGGGGTTCGTGCGCCTCCCAGAAGTACGCGTGGAAGGCACCCGACCTCCACCTCCCGAACCGCTTGAGCCGCTCCAGGTCCGGCATGGCGTGGTACATGGCCGTGGCGCCTCCGATCCTCTGGGAGTGGCTCCCGATGTGCGAGGGATGTATCCCCACCGCCTTCGCCGCCTGGCCCAAGAGGTCGGTGATGTCCTTCCGCCGGATGGGGTTCCCATCCCCGTCTCGGAAGAGAGGGAGGTCTCCCTCCGAGGCCCACCGCTGGGGCGCCAGCCTCTCCAGCTCGGCGAGGGCTCCGACAGGGCAAAGGGGATTGCCCGTGGCGTAGTGGTTGCGGCAGCATCCGAAATTGCACTGGTCGGTCTTGCTCCCCTTGATGTAGATAGCCACCTCGTCCGCGGACGCGAAGGTGGGGCAGACCGCGCCCTCCCTCCTCGGGGTGACATCCCTCCCGAAGAGGACCCGCTCCGCCGCCCAATCCCTACCCCCGGAGGTGTCGGCGAGGTACTCGGAGGCGCGCAACATAAAGAAGAAGCCGGTGGTGAGGGCAGCCCAGGCGGCCGCGCCTCCTACCCTCCCGGTGTCCAACCTCCCCTTTAGCCAGCGCATCATCTCAATGGTGACAGGGTACTTCCAGTTCTGCCGGTTCTGCTTGGCGCCCATCCTCCGTAGTCCCCCCAGCGCCAGCGCGAGCCTGGGGGCCAGCTCCAGAGGGTCCGGGTATCCCGCCGCGATATGGTAGTGGCGGACCGCCATCAGCTTTCCCCGGATCGCCCCCTCCGAGCGGTGCTGGACATGGGCCAGGTGGACGATCCAGTCCAGGAGCACGTCCTCATCCTGCCGCCGGCCCTCCCCCCCCCCAGCCCCGTGAGGAGCGGGCTCCCGCCACGGGCTTTGAGGAAAAGGCACCACTGCCTCCACGCAACGGCGTATGAGGTGCGCGTCCCCTTTGCGAGGTTCCCGAAGATGAGGCTGTCCCGTAGGCGCTCCCTCTCGTCCGCCAGGTGGCCTCCCCCAATCTGAGGTTGCCCCCCCTCCGCCGTCAGCAGAGAGCACTGGGGCTCCGCCTGGGTCTGGGGCTTGCGGCCGCGAGGCGCCGCCGTGAGCGCCCCCATGACCTCCTCCTCCTCCTCCTGGGCGAGGCGCCTCAGGCGCGGGATCCTTGCCCCCCTCTCAGTCCACGTCGTCCCCGTCGGGGGGGTGGTGCTGGAGGGGGCGAGGGAGTCCCCAGTCCCCCGCGTCCGGGGCCCCGGCAAAGGGGGAGCGGGCCCCGCCCAGTGGGGGCCGCCCAGCAGGCCTGCACCTCCGCTTTGCGGGGTCCCTCCGGGTGGTCCTCCAGCCCGGGCCCCGCGGGCCTCTCGGAGCCACCGCTCGTAAGCAGTCCGGGGGTCCTCGGGGTTAGCCTTCCAGGCGCTGAACCACGTCGCGTTGGCCGCGGCCATGAAGTCCTCATCAGGATCTCGGCACACCCCTGCCCGGGCCCCCTCCGCGAGGAGGCCCTCCCTCGCGCTGGCCGCTGCCCACGGCACTTGGTGCGCGGAGACGGGCGGCATGGAGCGGGCGGCACCCATGAGGAGCACCTCCTCAGGGACCCCCGCTCGGGTTCCCTCCCGCCAATCGTGAAGGAGGCCCCCGGAAATCTGCCAGGCCTCCTTGGGATCAAAGCGCCTCACCCGAGGCGTGCCATCCCCCCGCGTGTCTTCCAATAGCACGGGGTAGTACCCGGAGACCTCGTCAGGGTGCCAGAGTGGGTAGTCGGGCCCGCTGCTCTTCGGGCTAAGGATGACCCTCGTCCCCCTCCGACTCCCGGGTGCTCTTCCAGGTCCCGGCCGCCTGGAGGGCGGTGGGGCGCCCTCCCTCCCCGCGGTCGGCCCTCTCAGGGACCTTGAAGTGGCGCCAGTGGGCCCCCCCCTCCTCCTCCTGCATGTAGAGCTCCGGAGGGACCGCCTCGGGCGTCAACAGGGCGCTGCTGAGGTTCAGCGGGGCCAATCGCTCGCCCCGCCGCAGGAGTGCGAGCGCGGCGCTCCCCCAGTTCCCCCCGTCTCTCCAGGCAAGGAGGAGGCGGCGCGACCTGGCGCTCCGGTCCCCAAGGAGGTGGGTGTGCACCACGCTCTCCGCAGTGTCGTACCCACCCTCCTGCAAGACCTCGCGGGCTCCCCCCAGATCCTGGTCCAGGGGTCCGTCCAGCACGCCGAAGGTGGCGGCGTGGGAGAGCGCGTACCGCACGAAGTAGAGGGCCTCTCGGCCGGTGGGGTCGCTGCCACTGGAGCAGGTGACCCAAGTCTCCTTCACCGCGGTCCTGGCCCGCCCGGCCCGGTCGGCCACGAGTCGATTCTGGTGGACCTCCCACCAGGGGTGGCTCACGGCTGAACCGGGATCGGGGGTGGTGGCTCCGATCCGTGCCCCCATCTCTCCGGCCACCCGGCAGTAGGGGGAGAGGGTCGCACGCCACTCGAAGACCTGCACCCCGGCCAAGGGTCCGGCGGGCGGTCCCCGCGCCCGGCGGCGCTCCACCAGCTGGTAAGCCAGCCGGCGTCCCTCCTCCGAGTCTCCAGGGAGGACCAAAGGGCGGCCTTTCTCCGCCCCCGCGAGCACTTCCCTCCAGGGTCCCTTGAGGTCGATCTCCTCCAAGCCGAGGCGGTTCATCTCCTCCTGGACTACGCTCTTCGTCTCCCGGGAGATGAGGTCCATGCTGCTGTTGTGCTTGGTCCAAATTCCCGCCGTAACCGTGTGGAACCCGTAGCGGGTCTCCAGGAGCTGGAGGAGGCGCAGTCCGTAGCGGGCGAGGCGGTTCTTCGCCGTCCGCTTGTTGAGCCAGATCTCCGTGTTGGTGTTGTCCGTGACGTAGAGGACCAGGCGCCCCTCCCATCTCGGGGCCTGGGCCACCGCGAGCACCAGGAAGGTAAACAGCTCGCAGATGGCGATGATGTCGGCTCCCTCCCCAAAAACCGCGTGGAACGGCTCCATGACCTCCTTGACATCCATGACCCCGTACACCCCGTTTGACCAGTCGGCGGCCCCCACCCGGGTCTCGGTGGCGCCCCCTCCGGTCCAGACCAGCTCCTCCATTCCGCCGGGGAGGGCGAGCCGCTCCTGGGGTTGGAAGACCCCCTTCAAGCCTGCGTTAAAAAGGGTGGTCCAGGCCTGGGGCGCTCCCGCGTAGAGGCGGAAAACTTCCGGCGCCTCCCACCACTCGTCCCACGCGTCCTTCTCCCTCCCCTCGCTGCTCTCCTTGATCTTGACCCAAACCCCAGCCGGGTCCGCGGTGCGGAGGAGCCGGTCTACCGCCCCCAACTCGGGGCGGAGGGGGGGGCAGGTGATGGCCGCGAAGTTGAGGGTGCCGCGGAGGACCTGGACATCCTTCAGGGCTACCTGGGTGTTCCCCGTGTCGTAGGCCGGGTCACTCAGCAGGATCCGGATCTTGTTGACCTTCTCCTCGGGGAGCCGCAGGGTCTCCTCCTCCGTGTTCACGTGGACCCCCCAGCAGATCTGGTCCACGCGGAACTTCCCCTCCTCGTCCTTCTTCTCCGCGTTGATCGCAAGAGGCCCGAATACTCTACGGGCCCCCTCCTCGGCCAGCCTAGCGGCCATCCAGGGGCGCCGTCCCAGGAGGGGCTCGATGAGGACGTCGTCGTCCATGAGGAGGTGCGAGTGGTGGGGCACGTCGTCGTGCCATCCTGGGTCGGCCGGCCGGTGGCGGTCATGGCACTGCTTCAGGGCTGCCCCGAAGGCCATGTACTCCCCCGGGCCCCCGATCCACCCGAAGGTGAGGACGAGGTAGATGGCCACCAGGTTGCCCTCCATCCCGACCACCTTGCCAGGGAGCTCCGTGGCGAACATGCCGGCATCCTCCGCTCGTAACCAGATCCAGCGGAAGGCCTCCGCTATGTCCCGCTTGGCGATCAGGATTTTTACCCCCGGATGCCGCTCCTTCCACCAGGTGATCTCTCTCGCCAGTCCCCGATGGCGGGGCTGCAAGGCTGGGGGGTGGAGGTGCTTGTGCCCCGTCTCGTTCATCGCCCTCTGGTCGTGGATGAACCTTCCTTCCTCCGAGATCGTGCGGTCGGGGTTCATCTTCGGCACCCTTCCCCAGGGGGAGGAGAGGACCCCGCTTGCGTAAGGTTCCGAGTCCTTTCCGCAGAGAAGGACCCTCCCCCTCTCGGCGTCCTTCCACAACTTCTCCATCGCCTCCTCCGTGTGCCCCTGCACGCTCATGCGCGGTTTGGAGGGGGCCCGAACCTGGGCCAGCGGTTGGCGGGCGGGAACCCCGCCCTTCACCATCTGGTGGAGGTAATCCCTGAGGTCGGGGTCGAGCAGCTCGCATAGCTCCTCCTTGAAGACCCCGTCCAGGTTGTTCCCCCACCGGCTCGTCCAGGCCTCTCGGTAGCAGTCGACTGCTTCCTTCCAGCCTCCCGCCGCCTGGACTAGGCCATCACCGAGTCGGGCCCCCTCCTTCACAACTTCGGGGGAGTACTTGGGGTTGTCCGCACAATGGGTGCACAGCTCCTGCGCCCAGTCCTGAGCGGTTCGGCCCGCTCTCCCCGGCGCCTGGTTCCCCGATTCCGTCCCGCTTTCCAGGCTGCCAGCTGCCCGTTGGGGAGGCATCCAGGGCCCCTCTCCCTCCCCATCTTGGCTCCCTCCCGCATCGTCCCCTCCCTCTCCTGAGGGCCTGAGTTTACCATCTCCCGTGGCTCCCCCCCCCCCTCGAGGGCGTGGTGGGTGGGTGTTTCGTGGCCGTCCAAATGGCCAGCGCCACGGCGCGGGCGAAGCGCGGGGGGTATTGGGCGGCTTCCCTTGTCCGCTTGATGCCCGTCCCTGGGACGTTATCCCTGAGTTCCACGTGCTGGTGCACCGGGGAGAGACCGGGGCAGGGTCTCCGGAGCTTCGTGAAGAAGGGGGCCAGGTTGGCGGAGACGACCAGCCAGCACCCCTTGCGATAGAACTGATGGGGGGACGAAGCGTCTGAGGGATGGAGGCCCCAGGCGCACATCGTTCCCGGGATGATCACGGCACCGGTCTCCTCCAGGATTTCCAACCACTCCGGGAGGTCGTAGACCTTGGGATATATCCCTCTATGCTCCTGGTTCTCGAAGACCCATCCCTTCCTCCATTTATGAAGGTTCCGCATGCACCTTACCGTGGTCTGGGAGAGGGCGTTTCCCAAGACCTCCTTGCCGTTTACACCGGTCCCCTCCGGCTTCTCCCAGGTGCGGGCGCCCCCTTTGGTGTTGTGGTCGCAGAAGGATCGAGGTACACGGGTTTTCGAACATCCACACGTTGGCCACTCCCGGGCCCGGGGGAGCATCTGCCTCTTTGACCAGGGCCTCGGCGACGCCGGGGTTCGAGAGGTCGTGGTCCTCCCTCCTCTCCGACTCCTTGGGGTGCAGGGGGTTCCGGTACAGCTCCACGGGCTCGTCCGCTTGGATGCCCAGTTGCTCCGCCGCGCGGGTCACCCCCGCGGTTCCCGCGAACGCCTCCTTGAAGCGGGGTCCCCAGCGGAAAGCGGGCGTGTCCCCCAAAGCTCCGGGGTGCTCCGAGACGAGCTCCTCCCACAGCTGGAGGGCGGCCCTGATTGCGGGTGCCCGGGCAGGCTCTGCCGCTGCAGCCCTCCGGCCAGCCCCGAGGGCCGCCTCCCTCGCCGCGGGGCGCTCCTCGCATGCCTGGCACTTGACGCAGGTGCTCCAGGAGACCTCCGTGCCTCGGGCGTCGCGGTTGAGGAACTCCTCCCAGCCATTCATGACCGTGGCCTCCCTCCGAAGAGTCTGATGGAGGGCTCCCAGGCACGCATCCCCTCCCGCTTCTCCCGAGGTCGGTGTTCGGGGGCGGAGGGCGCGGGCGTGCCCCCGGTGGATCAGCATCCAGGCCTGAGGTGAGCCCCCCCCGGAGCGGGCTCCTTCCAGAAGGTGTGTGGTCACCTTCCCACCGTAGTCCATCATCACGACGTTTAGGACGACATCCTCCAGGAGGCGGAGGGGGAACACGACCAGGGCGCGGTAGTCCTTGTCGTGGTGTGGGGCAACCGCGTCGTGGATGAAGATCCGAAGGTCCGCCTCCCCGACCACCAGCTTGGCCTCCGGAGGCCCCATGGATTCTTCCGCCCGAACTGCCTGGTCCAGCTGCTCCGCTCTGGCCGTGAGCGCGCGCGCCCAGACCTCCGTGAGGCCGGGCGGCCCCCTTCCCTCACGGGCCCAGAGGGCGGCGCCCACCGCGCTCAGGAGGACGCACTGCTTTCTCTCACAGTCCTCCTGGATGCCCAAGCGCTCCGCGAGGAGAGGGTCCTCTCTGAGGGGGAGGCGGTCGTGGAAGTCGAGCATGTCCCACTCCCCTCCATCCATTTGGAGGGTCCCCCGCCCTACCCCGTCCCCCGCGTCCGGGGCTTGGAGGAGCCGGGCGTGACCTCTGCGGTCCGGGGGGGCGGACGTCCCCCCCCCCGGGTGCCGCCAGGCTCAGGCGCGAGCCGATCGAGGCAGTCGGCGGCCTCCCGGACCAGCTTCCAGTTGGGTCCGTCCACGATCCTCCGGAGTACGGCGAGCACCCCTCCTGTCGCCGTCGAGGCCAGGTGCTCCTCCAGGAGGTGGTTCTTGACCGCGGTCTCCAGGTGCCGGGAGGGCCCCCCCTTGAGGAACTCCCGCACATCGGGGCGCGCGTTAATGGCCTGCATTCCGGCCTCCCGCGCCTCCTCCTCTGGGTCGTCCGGGTCTCCAACTGGGTTGAGGCGATGCGCCTTATGGTGGTTCTCGGTGAAGCCGAAGTCTGGACCGTTGCGGTACTGATCCAAGACGTCTTCCCGCCCGGGGAGGGGGGTGAACCAGTCATATTCCCCCCTGGTCGGGTCCCAGGCCCGGACGTGCGTGGGTGGCTCGCCCCCCCGCCCGGTTGAGGGCCCCCCCTGGAGGGCGGCCAGCCGCGCCGGTTGATCCTGTTCCGCCACCACGGGCTGGTCCTTCCAGCCCCCTCGGCGCACCAGCTCCCCCATGAGTGGGGCCGGCAGTCCCCGAGCGGGTCCCAAGTCGCAGTGGGCGTGGGGGCAGACACCCCCCCTCCCTCACACCCCCGGTGGCTGACGTAGTCCCAGCAAAGCAGGAGGCCCCTCTGGTCCCTGGGAGTAGCCCCCCGCGCCAGTGCCTTCCGCACCGCTCGGGCGTAATCCGGGGCTGTGGAGGGGGGGAGGGCTCCCGCCACGGGGGCTGTCCCCTCCCCTTCCCCCTTGATCCCCGGTGAGGGACTTCCTGTCTGACCTTCCCCCGGCTCATCCCACCGCGGTGTGCCGGCGGTGGTTTGGGCGGCGTGGAGGTAGCCACCCAGCGTCTCCCCCTCCTCCGAAGTGGCGCTCTGGCTTCCCGCCCCGTCCCTTCCCGCCTCGAGCGGCGCGTCGGGGGCCGGGTTGCCCCCGCCAGCCCGGGCAGCCGCCTCGTTCAGCGCATCCAAGGCCTCCTGGGTAGGGGGAATCAGGTAGCGGATCTCGCCCTCTTCGTCGGCCAGGCAGGTGTGGCTCTCGTTCAGCACGAAGCCTCCCGGCGGCGCACTCGCCGAGCGGGGCTGCCGGGCTCGGCCTCCGGTGGCCCCTTCCCTCCCTCGTCGCGGGGCTCCGGCGACGCCTGCCTCGCGGCCGGCTCCACTTCGTCTTCTTCCGGGTGGGGGCTCAAGGCGGCGCCCCACTCCAGGGGGTCCACAGGCGGGCTTGATGCTGCCGCCTCCTCCCCCACAGGGAGGGCCTCCTCCTCGTCCACCTCCTGCGCTCCTCCGCTCGTGCGCGGGTAGGCGTAAAGAAGAGCGGGGCCGAGGAGGGGGGAGGGGCCCTCGGCGGGTGGCTTCCGATTCGCGTTCGGAGGGGGGCGCGGGAACGCGCCAGGCCCGAGGGGGGGTTCTTCCCACCCACGACCGCCTCAGGCGCACGGATCCGGGCCCGGGGAGGGTTCCCCCGCCCCGAGACTGGCAGGGTCCGATCCTCCCCCGACGAAGGCGCGGGGCAACGATCCGGTGGTAGTACTCCGTGGGGTCCTCGACGACGAACGTGCGGGGGATCTTCACGCGGGCTCTCCCGCGCACATCCGGGGCTGTGGCATAGGCCGTCAGCTCCGGCAGCGCGGTTGGGTGGGAGCCCATCTCGGCCTCCACGGACCGGAGCTCGTCCCGCATCTTCGCCCACCAGTGCCACGTGAGCTCCTCCCAGACCTCCATCAAGTCGGCGAGGGACAGGTACTCCGGCCGGTCTTGATGTTCGCGCAGCAAGAACCGCAGGGCGGTGGTCCTGGGCAGTGAGTGCTCCTGCCCATAAGTCAGGGCGAACACCCGGATCTGCGTCTGGGCGGCCTCCGCCCACGTGCCAAGGTCTGCGGGGGCCGGCGAGGGGGGCTCCCTCCTGTGTCCCTCCGCGGCGACGAGGGGCCCAGCGTCCGCGCCCCTTGCGACCGCGAAGTCGGCCACCGTGAGGGCGTTCGGGTCGGCGGGCCCCGCCTTAGGGGCACCCAGCAGGCAGGCCGCCAAGCCATACGCAATCCGGTTGCTGAGCGGGAGGGGCCAGCCGACCCCCTCCAGCAGGGCGAGCGCCCCCCGGCCATGTCCGCGCAGGGTCAAGTAGAGCTCCCGCCCAAGATGGGCAGGTCCCACGGCCACCTGGAAGGTGCCGCATCCCCGCGCGAGGTGGCGTACCCTCCGCGCGGCCCCTTGGAGGTACATGAGGTCCCCCCCCCCGTCCTCTTCCCTCGCGGGGGGACGGCGCGCCCGCAGGAGCGCGGGAACGGAGGAACCCTTCCGCTTCCTTTCTCCGGGGACGACGGCCTGAGCCGATTCGGCAGGGGTTCCCTCCACCGGCTGGAGGGCGCGGGGGCTCTCCCCCCGCCTCCGCGGGGGCGTGGGGCGGGGGTCCTGGGGCTTCAGCGGCAGCTTGGGGGAGGTCCCCCGCGGTCGGAGGGCGAGGGCCCGCACCGCGCCCCCTGCCCTTCCCCATAAGGCAAGTTGGGCAGTGACCTCCTCCAGCCGAGGATGCACCGAGGGAAGGAGGAGCGGATTTTCCAGGTGCTCCCGGGCCTGCTCCAGAATCGCGGTCCGCACTGTGTGGCTTCCGGCCCACGGCTGCCGCCACCTCCAGCATCTTCGCCCCCGTCGGCTTGCCCGTGGCACCCGCCTGGAGGTACAGCCCCAGCTCCGTGCTGTTCGGCTCCATCACCGGCGTTCCCCCCGCCCGGCGCCCCGGGGCGTGGCCCCTCCCCAACCTCAGCAGCTCTTCCTTGCTTGAGGGCATGTGGAGCAGGCGGGCGATGCGACCGCCTCGAGGGGGTGGGGAGGCAGATCTTCCCCCCACGCGCAAGATGGAGCGCGGCTCCCCAAGGGCGTTGCACAGCGCTCCCCCTCCCCGAGCTTGCTGCCCGGGAGGGATAACCCGCGCGTAGGGGTGGGGAGGGCACTTGCAGGTCAGGAACTTCGCCCACTGCAGCAGGTCGGCCAGCGTACAGGGCTTCCCCCCGCCCTCACTTGCTTCCCCCAGCTGGGCATAGGTGGCCCCCGTGATTTCCTGGGCGTCAAATGGGGGGCGGGAGGCGTTGAGGCGCCCCTCGGAAGAGAGGCTCAAGGGTCCCACCGCCCACAGCGGGAACGTCAGCTCAACCTCCACTCCTGGCATCCAAATCCCCGCCCAGTCCTTCTTCCCTCCTCTCCCCCGCGCCTCTCCCCGCCCTATCCCTCGGGCAGTAGTGTAAGGGCGGGCGCCTTCCCCGGTGTCGGCGGGCTCGTAGAGGCGGATCAAGTACTTCCGTCCGACCGTATCCTCCGCCTGGGTGGGGATGGTCAGGGGTGGCGTAGCCCTCCCCCCATTCACAATCGCGGGGGCCTCCCCATCCCCTTCGGGGGTGCCTTCAGACACGAGTGCGCCCGGGACGCCGTGCGTCAGCTGGTGGCAGTCAGATCCCACTGGCACGCCAGGGGCGGCCGCGGGGTTAGGGGACACCTCCTCGGAGGCGGCCGGCTCCGCGGGCGGGGGGGAGGGAGGCTCCCCGGTTGCCCCCAGCGCGGGCTTCCCCTTCGCAGGGCCCGCAGTGGGGACCGCGAAGGGTTCGGCGGCTGGCCCGGCATCGCTTAGGCGCGCCGGGTCAGGGGGGGACTTGCTAGTGTCCGCCCTTCCCTCCCCCTCTCGAGCAGGCTGCGGAGAGGGGTTCGCGTGCCTGAGGCAGAGGCGCTTCCCACCGAACCCGGGTTCCCCAATGTGCCAGCAGCCTGGCTCCGAGCACTGGAGGCTCAGGCGGAGGTTGTGGTACTCCAGGCCGTGGTAACGGCACAGGCAGGCCATCGGTGCCCCTCCCCCGTTGCGCGGCCATCCCCGGGTGTCGGACGCGGGCCCGTCCTCGAGGAGCGAAGGGGTGGGCTTGGGTCCCCTCCGATCCTCGCAAGTGCCATGCTTCTGGAGGCAACAGTACCCTCCCTTCGCGTCCATCCAGCCCACTGCTTCGGCCATGCAGGGTTCCCAGTCGTCTTCCTCCTGCTGTGGTCCCCGGGGGTTCGCGGTGACCTGGCGTGGCCCCGGCCGGCGCAGGCGGGCCCCCCTCCGGCAACAGCAACAACCCCGAGCCAAGAAGGAATGGGCGATGCGCTGGACCCCACCCCAGAATGCCCTCCAGAGGGCGCGGAAGCCGGCCAGGAAGGGGCTTCCCAGGTCCCTGTCCTCAGTGAGGTCGAGGATGGCCTTGGCGTCGACCGCGGTATACTTCCGGAAGTGCATGGCGAAGGCGTCCACGCTGGGACAGCCGCCCAC